TGTTCTTCATGGGAGCAACCCTCCCCTCCTGTCGCAATTCGTTGTGGTTTTGGACCGTCGGTCGTCGCACAGTTGTCCTCGGTCGCGCTGTCGCGGCGTCCTGCCTGTTCGGCTGTCGGACGGTGCTCCGTGCCTTCTCCGCTCCTCTGCGCCCCGTGGTGGGGGGCGACGGGGCCTGTGTCTGGGCTACGCTGCTGTGGACCGTCCTGTCGCTCCTCCGTCTGCCCGTGGGGGGGACTGCTGCGGTGCTCAGTGGCGGGGCTTCTTGGGCTCCACTTCCGGTGGTCGGGCTCCCCGCCTGCACTGCACCGCTTCCTGGGCGTCGCTCCTCGTCCTTCCCGGAGGTGCATCCGCCACAGATCTCGTCGGGGCTTCCACCTCGATCCAGGGGCATCACCTCCTTTTGTTCGTCCTCCCGCTGGCCACGCAGAGACAATGGCAGAAACGGCGGCCGATCCGTGGACCACAGTGTGTTGACCGGCCTGGCTGGGTCGGCTAGTGCTCCTCGCGCCAGCCTGAACCGGTTGTCAGCCAATCGCAGGGCACACAGAGACGAACAACCACCCGCGCTCACACTTACACCTTGGGACAATTTAGAGTGTTCAATCAGCCTGCTATGCATGTTTTTGGAATGTGGGAGGAAACCGGAGTACCCGGAGAAAACCAACACAGGCGAAGCCGAGGAGAATATGTAAACTCCACACAGGGAGGCCGGAGCTGGAGTTGAACCCAGTACCTACCTCTGCACTGTGAAGCCGACGTGCTAACCACTGTTCCACCGGGCCGCCCACGTTCAAGACACCCTTTCAGTCTTTCAAAATGCTCTTCAGTGACAAGATGATTCAACATATTGCTCATCAATCAAATTTTACTCTGCCCAAGAGCTGGGGGATCCAATCAAGACTAATCCTGCAGAGATTGAAGATTTCCTTGAAATGCTCCTTCTTCATGGGTGTTTTTGACTTTACAGCCATGGAGGACTACTGGAACTCTGCATCACGCTTTGACGTGATGTCATAAAAATACCCGCTTTGATGTGATGTCATAAAATAGAGTACCCATGGTTCATTAAATTTTGTATTTGCATTTATTTCACTGAGAGAATGGTTTGAATTTTTGGTTTTGTTCAATGCAAGAGCTCAGAGTTAAGTTACTGGAAAATTGCAGACCGTACAGGTGAGAAGTTGAAATCATCCAAGTAGTTTTTTGTCAACAGAGAGAGGGACAATGCAAAATAACCCCATATGTGTGAGCAAAGCTTCTTTACTGAAATAAAATGAACATACGTGACATTAATTGTTCCTTTTTTTCCATTTCCCTCTCTACTTTTTGTCTTGAAGGTTATAAACAAGGATTTAATTGCTATAGCACATTATCAAATCTGTTACTATCAACGTTCATCTCAACCATTTGTTCGAGGCTCATATTATAAAAACTAGGGGGCGTATAAATGTAATTTTTATATATATTTTGTTATTAAGTGTCCCAATAACTAAGAAAATATTAAATAATAATTTTTTGAATGTTTTTTTTTTCTTGGAGTGACCATCAAAGCAATGCCCATATTTGCCGAGACGGAGAACCTCACACAAGCGACATATCACAAGTAAAAAGCGTGGTGAACGCTTACAATGAGTGAATACTTGCCCTGGCATACTTTACCTCAGCCTTTGCTGTAATGTGCTCTTTGTCGATCACGTCTGTTTGTTTGGCTCTTTCAGCAAGACTGAGCAAGAGCAAGTTCGTACGTAAACCTTCCTCGGTGCGGGCGAGCGACGCCATACATTGCGGACATTGGTGCTGTGTCCCCCAAAAGCTTGTCAGACATTTTCTGCAAAAAGAGTGGCCGCAGAGAAGAGTGACCGGATCGGTAAAAATTGTCAGACAAATTGAACAAGTCAAATCGTCTTTGAAAGAGGCAGAAGCCATATCTGTTCACTTCTCCCGTAGCGACGCGACTCAACAGCCGATAGTCCGCTTCTCTCTGCTGTGCGTGCGTCTGCGCGAACATGTACGAACGTGCGCGTCTTTTGGCTTCAACCAATCAGCGCTGACTCGACGTACGTAACACATCAAAGAGCTTTGATCTAGATCAAAGGGGTGCCCATTACGTCGATCCTGATCTACCGGTAGATCTAAGACAGGTCCCAAGTAGATCCGAGGAGTGTCGAGGCGAAAAAAAACAAAACCATTTTTGTGTCTTTGTACATGTTAGTAAGATTTTTTTGTGTTAATGTACGCTACACCCTAATCATCCTATCAGTCTCATATTCACAAAAAAAATATTTAAATAAAATAAAGCAGGGAAATCTTGAATTTACGATGGCGCGTGATTACGTCACCGGAAGTTGTTGGCGCTCAGCAGTCTGCAATTGCAGCTTGTGATCAGAGCTGTTGCGCTCTATCTTTTATCGTCATTATTCTCATTCAGAGTTTGCTTCGTGTACAATTCACCGAGGGCACGGGCAAAGAATAGGAATCTAGGAGGGCCCAGGGAAGCACTTTAAAAC